ATTTACTGTTCAAAAAACTACAGATTTTATATTTTTTCATTATCATTATGTACCATATTGTAACTATGCGAAATGTATTAATATGATATTTTTTGTGATTATAAATATATACAGTTATACAGATAAATATGATTTTTGTTATTGTCTATTGAATATTATTTAATTAACTATTTATAGTGTAAATCTATTGAATTTTCAATAATTATTCATATACGTATATGCTGTCTAAGAACGATATTAAAAGCTACATGGTTTGTAAGGAACTGAAATATACATAAAAACCTCAAAATTCCAACTATTGGCTGTGAGCTTCTTTGAATCCATCCACAAGTTAACAGGCTCAATGTACTACCATATTAACATCAGACCACCTCCACAACGCCGCCTCAAACGTGGACGCCCACATGATCTAATTTCTCAAGAAACATTCTAACTTAAGCCTCTAACTTTTGATATCACCTGACTTAAAATTGTAATAATTTAATTATTGCACTTAACTCGCCAAAAATGTATTACCTTTCCTACATCTCTAGGTATAGATAGCAAAAGCTAGGAGTACCTTATTGTAAAATAATAATAATAATAAAAAAAAAAAATACTTGGATACTGTAAATATATTTAGTATTTACCTATAACTAAATGAATTATAATCATTATGTTTGACGTTACTAAATAATTATTTCAAGTGTTAAGAGAAAATGCAATAATAACTGTAAACATAACTGTTTGTTGATGTAACATTAATAATGTTCTTTACGAATGAAAAAAAAAAGAATAAATTAAATGTTATGGCTTTGATAATATCAAGATTCACAAAAATATAACATAAGATATGTTATTAAAATTTTTAACTATCTACAAAATCAATATATTTCGTAATTAGTGTATGTGAACTAGATAAAAATACAAAGGTAATTTACATTACATTAATAGTTTATAGAGATTTTATAAAATTAAGTTTATTTAGTAAAAGTTAAAAAATATAATATTTTTGTTTGTTGCAATAAAAAAAAAAAAAAAAAAAACATACATATAGTAATAATATACAAATTTGATTAAGCATTAAGATTATATTTTTTAATCAATATATAATACTCAAATAATAATTCAATTGCCAATTTTTATATTACCTGTTAAGATAACCTGTTAATGATAAATATTTGTCTACAAAAGATGAAGAATGTGACCTTAAAGTAATTATTTGTTATAAAATTTATAAAAAAAAATATAATATAGACCATCACATCTGTGTTTTTTAATATTTAGTTATTAAAAGAATAATAAATATTTCAAAAATATTTTAAAAAAATTGTTCCCGATAAGTTGTTTCTTATAAATCATATTTTAATATTTAATCTCAATATTTTTGATTTACTAATAATTGAAATTTCGTAGAATTATTTTTGTATGAGCCATATGTACTTATTTTTCAAGATTAACCTTTTAAAATTTGATGTTTTAACTACAAAATAATTTGTGAACTTTCGTTTTTTTGATGACTGTTTTCAATATTTTAACATTAAAAGCTTATTAAAGCAACAGTGACTGTTCTTTTAATATTTCTATAATAGCAATTTTCATTTAATTATCATACTTTTTTACTAATAAGTAAGCTTTCATCATAATTAAAACGAACACAGTTAAAAAAAAATATTTTATAAATTAATTATAAATATAATTTATAATTTGAAAAAGTTAAAATATTTTGCAAATGTTATTTTACTTATAGACAATTTTAAAATAAATATTTAGTGCAATTCTTAAATCTATATGGTTTTAAAAAAATGAACACTCGTGTTATTATAAAACCAATTAATTTGTATTTTATCTGCTTAGAATTTAATAAGTAAAAATCAAGCAGTGTGTGAATAGTAAAATATATATTTAATACAATATTTAAGTAAAAATAAGTAGTGTATTGTTAAATATGTTAATATTTTTAATCTATATAATAAACATACTATTGAAAAAGATAACTCTCTTATAAAATTGGTTATTACTCTATCTCGAAATAATATTAATATGACACTTATGTTACTGTACTAGAGTGTATTAATTTTGCCTATACGATGCGCCATCTTAAATGTGAGTAAACAATGTTTTAAGCCGGTTTTTTTTTATGAAATCATAAGTGTCAATAATTACTATAAATTAAATCTCCTTCTTAAAAAATATAGTAGATAACTCTTTGATTATTTGACATTTTTGGTGAATGTATTTATATAATTCATATATTAAATATTTATAAACACACAAATTGTTTGATAATTTTCATATTTTTAAAATATCTAATTACAGAGCAATTATATATAGTTCATTATTATTTATAAGGTTGTAAAATATAGCGTATCGTACTTGATTCGTTCCAAAAAAATGTATTGGTCATAATTTTGGTTTCGAAATACAACTATAAAATAATGTTTCATGTGCAGATTTTTCTATAACACATATTTAATTATCGTATGTTGTAAATATTATTAAAATTAAAATAGAACCACATTTCTAAAACAAGATAAAAGCTTTTTTTTTTAAGTCTGTGAAACTAAATAAGACATAGAGATCAAAAAATAAAGATACCTGATTTAAAATTCACGTATGGTGGTTACCTTAATAATTTAAATCTCTTATATTTTAGATGTAGACATTTTTATGGAGGAAATAAAAAATACATATTATTAGTTTAAGATTGATAGAAAAAAACATTAGAATAAGAAACGTCGAAAAAAGAAGTATGATTGTATTAGTTTAGTAATTATTATTTTTATTAGATACTGTATATTATTCCAAATTATATTATTTAAAATATGTACAATACAATATAATAAATAAATAACAATTCTTTAAATTTTTATTTTTTATAGTTAATAAGTTAATTCAACATTCTTTATTTCTTCCTTCACAACAATGTTAGACTTAACTAAATTTATACTTGTTTTACAAACCTACAATTTTATATAGATGTATATATTTTACAAAAAAAAAAAAAAATGTTTTTGATCGCCGATTTATTTATAATATAAGTAATAATATTAAAATTAATTATACCCATAATTTAAGAATGAAGTATGTATTTAATTAGTTAAAATCAAATTCTGTGGCTACACATATTTATAATTTAATTTTCATCATAGTTTTATCACTAACTATAATACATAATTTGATTTGAATTTATTTCGATTAATAATTGTTTAATCATATTAATCTAATTTATTTAAATTACTTTAAGTTACTTGTTTTGATACGTTATTTCACACACACACACACAAAAAAATAAAATATTAATAATAAAAATAACTAATTTTACATTTGAGTTTTTCAAATTTGTAATCGGATTTGGTCTATATTTCTTAAATTAATTGACACATACATATTGTATAATTAAAACCATCCAATAGTAGAAAAAAAATTGAAGACAACATATTTAGTTTACATGGAAAATAATCGAAAAGTCTTACTTTACAGTCTGTACATTAGCTATTAAAATTATTTTTTGATGAACAATTAAACCATTTATTTTTGGATTTTTCATGAAAAATTAAAAAAAAAAAATAATATCGGAAAATTCTAGCATATTATTTATTAATTTGTTATTGGTGGCATATTTATCATATCTTTTGATTGTATCAAAAATTACAAATGGACAACACTTGTAATATATAGTATACGTTACAACGATTTGTTATCGGTTTATGAAACCACGTGGCGTTGGCCCAATCAAATGGATGAACATCACTGTAGGTACAATCTATATAATATGGAACATTAAGGGACACAGTATTAATTTTCTTAATTAGTCCCGAGTAATGTTAATTTATCCTGCTATATACTTTGAACTTTCGATAATTGCGTTTGGGTCGTTGTTAATATCACTAGAAAATTAAGTGTTATTACTCATAAGGTTTGATAACTAACCGTCATGGTCCAAAGTGATACAATTTTTTTTATTTTTTTATTAAACCAATTATTGAAGCTTTGATAGGTAGAATATGCATTAACTATAACTTAAACATAATAAAATAATTACTTTATTTTTGATAGATATGTGTATTGCAAAATGAATACATATCTATACACGCTGTCATGCTGTAAAACCTGAAATTTAACAAAATATAATTATGTACACATAGTTTATTCATCTGTTCAACGTTATATTATTAAGTTCAAAATAACATTCAAGTTTTGAAAACTAATTATTTACAATACTGACATTAATAAAATGGCCGGCTTCATGTAATAAGAGTCACACTAATTAACGTTTTAATTAATAAATAAAACAAATCAATTATATAATATTATTTTATACATTAAATTATAATAACGATACATGAGTAAATTAATTTTTTTTTTTCTGGGAAAATATACTATGTTAATTTAAAGATACATTTTGGACGTAAATTCATACACATTCTCTGTTCACCTATTTTATGCATTTTGTTAAATAACACAAGAAGGTAATGGTGATATTTTTTTGTAACAATACAATCGGCTTATAACATGGTTCAAAAAATAACAATTTTTTTTTTAATAATACATTTTTAATTAACTAAACTTACTAAAGTATAGCAATCTATTTAAATCGATTTTATTATAACAATGATAAAAAAAAAAAAAAACAAAGTACAGTTTAAAAAAAAATATTTTATATCAACATAAATTATATAATCAATAATATATTCATATATATAAAAAAAAAAAACAGTTATGTTAGGAATCACAATATTTAGCTTTATCTAATTTAAACATAATTAAAATTTTATATGGTAAATCGGATAACGAAATTCTTAGCTTTATATAATTATAATTTAAATTGAAGAAATTTTAATTTGGAACCATGTTTATCCTTTTCTTTTACATTTTCATTTTTGAGGTACACTACACTAAAATTTAGTAAATATTTTATTTTGAACCAATAAATTATTATAATTTACATTCATATTTATAAAAAAAAAAAAAAAAAATAAAAAATAAATAAATGCTGAAATTTATAGCATAGATATTTAATTAATACTTGTGTTTATAAATATATTCACGATAACTCAGAAACTGTAATTCAGCAGAAGATTAACAATAAATCATTATTGTATGACTTTGCAACTATTTTATTCACAATGCTTGTTCCAAATCAGCTGAAAAAAAAAAATAAAAGGTTAGATATACTTTACCGAATAAAATAAAGCAATGTTAGGTAACGATTATATAAATATAATAAAAGTTTTATAGTATATTCTGTAAAATTTATAATAATATTATTATAAGTGCAAGTCTACTAATTATGGTTCTTACATATAGTGAAAAACAATTGGATAATTTATAATATTTATTTATATTTATTTAACCTTCTTTTATATATTAAGTTCTATATTTAAAAAAACTAAAAAGTTATTAAATTTGATTGAGTGTTTATTATTTAGTCCTAACATAATAAATTAGCATATAACCAAAATTGTATAATTTATACTCTATCCGCCAACACATTCAAAAGCTGCCCCCACACCCATTAATATCTCATAAATGTAAAAGTTTTTATATTTGATATTATTTAGAAAATCTATTATATTTTTATTCGTATTATATTGATAACCAAATCACTCGTTATGTCTAAGATGCCTTGATTATTTGACCCGTACATTATTATAAAAAAATGTTTTGTGGTTTTTTCAATATGTCAACGTATAATTGCGTTTTCTAGTAATTTAACAATAATAATAATAATAATAATAATAATAAAAAAGTAAATAGTGAAAATATTTTTTTACTAAGTTTTATTTTTTATAATTTTTTTTGCAATCAATAACGTATCTTAATTATTTACAAATGTAGTCACCGATCATAGTAATGTCGTAATACTTATTATTAAGCCAATAAGTGTTGGTGTTTTTAAAATATATTTAAAAACAATTTAAAGGTTTTACGTAACTAAAAAATATTATATTTTAATTTAATTACCAATCTTAAGACGTCTTTTTGATAATACAGTTAATTAATATTAACTTAACATGTTGGTTATAAAGACTCTAGACTTAAGGATACAATATATAATAATAAACCTATTAATAATATTTGCAATAATGATGATTATTACTGTATTAAATATCGATCTTTTATAATAAATCTATTTTGTTAAGCTAATTTGTGCGGGAATAAAGAATATTGCTTCTATAAATTATGCAATAACCATGAAATGCTTAAAAAAAAAAAAAAAATGAAAATTGAAGACTTCAAATACATACAGACTATGTTTCGTCATGTATATTTAAAAAAAAAAATAATAAGTGTTCTCATACACCATGTCAGTATAGACTTAAATTGCATTTAATTCATGAAATTCGTAGTAAAATGTGTTCTCCAAATATTATTTATCGGTTGTTGTTTTATTAGTACGGTCGTAAATAAGTAATATAATTTTATTGGGCAGAAAGAAAAAAACTTTATGTATTTGGTAGTTCAATTTTGTGTTTCACAACACATATCATTTATGTTTAATATTATCACGTTTTCAAAGGAAAATGAAATAATATACATACACACAAGTATGATAAAAAAATATATATATATATTAAAACAAAGAAATCCTACCTTATTCTTTCAAAAATAAAACAATGTTACTTTTTATCAGTATCTTAAGAACATTATTCCTACCTACGAGTTTTGACTGTTGTAATTAGAAATAATGTTTTTACAGATTAATTTAGTTATTGTTTGGACGAGTTAAAAATATTAAATTATATTCTATATTTTTACTAATGAATAATTATATAATTTTAATGAAATTCAAAGTTATTTTTTATTTTTATGCTTATCATGTGGAGTTATTTTGAAATACACATTTGCTTGATATAAAACTCAATAGTAAGCTTTTTCTTTTTTGACTGAACTTATAATAACTGTAATAACATTTTTAGACATTTTCCATTTTTACTATAGTTTAACTTTAAAAAGTTTGTAAAACATATAGTTCATTTTGAAGTATAATAATAACTATTTCTTTCAAACATATTTTTAAAATTGCACTACTACATAACATGTTAATATATAACACCCACAAATATTTTAGATTCATAACTTTAACAATAGTCGTCACATCCAGAATAATTTAAAAATTATTTTAAATTACATAAAATATTTCATCAACAAAGACATTGCTATAATATTAAACTTAATAGATTTGGTTTTAGGATTATAAATATTTCTACTTTTTATAATATGTCATAAAGAGAGTACATATATAATATTCAATTTTAATAGGACAATATATTGAAGATGTGTTTGAGATATTAGTATTTTAAAGGCATTTTGAATGAATAGAGTAAGTTTATACTATATTTAGGTATATATTATGTAATAATACTGTATTGTATAGACTTCAGACTTCTTAAAGAGAACATAGAATACACTCGTATAGTTTACATGTTTAAAAAAATAAAAATGTTATTTCATACGATGTGAATTGAGTGTTATAGGCTGTAAATATTATGCAGATGAAACTATTTTAAGTTATTAATGATTAAAATGTAACAAACAATATGGAACATAACACAATTCAAACAGGTTATTCTGAAACTGTTACCACACTTTATATTTTATAAAAGTGTTGATTATTAGTCAGTAAAAATGCACATCTGTGATAAATTATTTGAAGAAACATGAGAACCATTCAATTCAATATTACTGTAAGCAATGAGTATTAAAAATTAGAAAATAAAATTAACGAATATAATAAAAATATGTAATATTTAAAATAATACCAGCTAGAATAATATGACTACAAAATTAGTTAACTGAGATTTTTGTTCATAATATCTCATAATAATTCTTTCGATATCATATCAGGAAAATATTGCATAAGATTATGTGAAAAGCGTGGTGTAATAAATAGCATGTTTGAATTTTGAATAATAGTATCAATAATAAAGTAAGGATGAAAAAAAATACGAAATCAATAAATCATCATTATGAAGATTTTCAACGAAATATATGACATTGCATTTGCCCGATTACGTGATAGACATAATATAATTTTCACGTTTCAACTTTTTTTTTTTGACATAAAATATTCTCCGTTATGATTGTTAAGAAGCTCAAATAACATTGACGTTTGAATTCAGCGTTGATACTCAAGACAAAACCAGCTTTGATTTTCTCAAACATTAAATCCGTGTCTGACATTACTTTTATAATCTTAGGGAAAAAATAATGTTAAAGCTGAGTGTATAGCAGTAGAGTATATTTAAATTAATTAAAATGCATAATGCCGGAGAGATGAACAATTTCTGTATAACACCAACTACTTACCAGAGATCCTTTAGGCATTTGAAACGATTAGTTTTTGTTATCAATATATACGCATGCCCACAATTAACTCATGTTATTTATTCAATTTAATCATTAAACATCATGTTATTCGTATTATATTCTGTTTTTATATTTTGTGATAAAAATATTTCATTGTACACGATTATTTTATGAATTATTGTAGCATAAGATTCGAGTATTATAATATTAATATTAATCTTTTTCTCTCGTATTTTTATTACTATATTATGTAAGCGAGAATTGTAAAATCCATTATACCCAATTACTTAGTATATTTGTTTTAATGCAAATATAGACATAGAATACAACGTTACGCAAATAAAAAATATTAAATGATAATAAAATAAAGTATTTATATAACAATAATATTTATATAGGTATAAACCAAGTTATTTATCAAGAATAATCACATTTTTTTCTCAAGTAATACATTTAATTAATTTTTTTTTTTTTTATTTTAAGATTTTTTTTTTATAGATTTGGATATTTTAATGGTTTAAAATGTATATAAATTTATGAAGTTTCTTACACGAAACATACTTAAATTTTTTAAAAATTTGAACTTAAAAAAATTTAAATATTTATATTATATTTAAAGAAATTATTTAAGTAAAAATAATCAGAAATACTAAATTTAAGAGACAATTAGAATCATTTTAATTAAAAAAAAATTATATGGCAAATTAAGGGTTAAACTGGATGTAATTTGAGTGTATTCCATTTAACACTTATTTAAATTTATTTACTGCTCTTTAGTTAGTTATCAGAAAGTGAAGCAATATTATATCTTTGTCGTAATTCAAAATTTATGAAATGCTTTAAATTTAAACTATGATGTTAACTATTTTATAAGAATTCAAAAATAATAAATGTTGATGAAAAATAGTTGTTTGGTTAACGGTAACTAATATTGATTTATTTGAAATAAAAATAATATACATCAATAGTTAAAATAATAAAATATTAAAGAATTTGGGTCAATTTAAAATTCTATTGATTGTAAATCGTTATTTATAATCGTATTTTATTATTTGTGATTGTAATATATTTTATAGGAATACAAACAATAAACTTACAAATTTAAATATGACTCACGAATGTATTGAACAAAAAATGTTTAAAGATTATAATTATTTTTAATCAAATATAATTTAACTTATGTATAAATGTGTTTTTAATTTGATTGCTATGTATATTTTTTTTAAATAGAAAATAAAAATAATACTAATTACGTTAAATTAATTGTGTTAACAAATTATGCATATTTACTAACACTAACATTGGAAATATTCCTTAGAAACTTATTTTTATTTTATTTTGGTATTTTATATTATTTTAATAAATAAATTATAAAGTACCATGGTTTAAATACGGATAAACACATATGCTTAACTGTTACATATAATTATTTCCATAAGACTATTTGGTATCTAAGAAAAAAAAAAATGTAAATATTTCTCGTTCAGCAGTTAAAATAACCAAAATAAAACACTCAAAAAATATTTAATCATAAATAAATATTGTTTATTTATTCAAATTTTCTTTTTTTTTTTTTTTTTTTAGTACGTCTCATTTGAGTAATCTAAATGTATACTTTTAAATATCCATGAGCAAACAATAAAATAATTTTATGTTGCATTACACTAACAGGACGTATTGATCCGGTGATTTTTTTACTGATATAGGTAGTATCCATATTTCAAAACCGTTTTTTATAGAAATATAGTTTATTGAATAAAAATTGTAAATATTACACATACTTATTTTTTTTGATTTGACGAATGATAAAATTAAAAATACTAAGCTTTTTGTT